GATCAGGAAAATTCAAAAAATATTGCCTTGTAGTCCGAGAATTGCTCTATTTGATGCGTACTTAAACTTTTCCGAAACTTTGAAATGAGATTTTTGAAAATTAGCCTAACTTTGTGCAAATAAAATTGACGGGTGAAGACTGCTGGAACGCATGTTTGAGCTCATTCAGTTCCTTGTTGTGCGTGGTTTTATAATGGTCTGAAAAAAAAACGGACAAAACTTTCGGAACAACCTAATATAATATATTAATATTATATCGTATATTTATTTATATATATTCGTACGTATTATTTATATCATTTATTTATATATGTTCGCACATTAACAACTTAGCCGTTCACATAACTTTGTTCTGAAAGAAGGTCAGGTGACTATATCTTTGCATGTACCGTTTCCTGTCATGCTTGTCGTCTAAACACCGCTTTCATCCCTCTGATTCGTATAAATTATTACAAATTATTACGTGAATAAAAAACGCATGAACTTACAGTGTTTGTCGCAGCTTTCTTATTCTTTCTAGTAGCTACGTTTCAAAATGGTATTCATACCTATGCACCAAAAAATAGCCAGAAATTGCCCATTCTTTTTCTGCCAAATTTAACTTTGTCTAATTTTCAATATGGCCTTTTCTAAACTTTCGAAGAATATTTGATAACATGCAGTTAAAGTAGAATTTGCAACTCAATACTTTTTTCGCCTCTCAAAATTTTTTAGATTACTGGAAGCAATGCTTTATGCGACCAAGTTCCACATTTGGTCAGTGCGAATCTTATAAAGTAAAAAAATTAGAGTAAGAAAACTAAATATGTTTAATTCAGCCTATATTCCATTATCTAACAGCCGCTTTTTCTTCCTTGATTTGTCGAAATTTCGCGAATAAAATCATCACAACTCGCAGTAGCACGAGTAGAAATGGCTGTAGCGAAAATTGCAGAAACCCACTATTTCAAGGCAAGATCTCTTGTTCATAATTGCAGAATTCGCTCATTGATAAAAGAAGTATGAGAATAACGATTTTGTAGGTTCTTTAACGCAATCAGTATCGCATTATTTCTCAATAAACATTTGAAGACATTTCTGTTAATAAGTGAAGGCAATAGGGACATCCAAAATGAGTATATTGCAAAATGCTTGCTCTCTCCGTTTATTCAATCAATATACTTTGGTCAGGTAAGAGAATTTCGAAAATCAAACGAAGTTGCACAAAAAAATCTGCTAAAAATCTCAATTTTTCTCTCAACAAGAAGAGGCATTCTATATTGAAGAAGAAGAACGGAGAAAAAGCTCAACACTTCTGGCTATCATTATTCCGCATAATTAGTAGGACAGAAATTACGCACACTTTTAATACGGCCTAATATTATTTGCTTAACTCGAAAGGTAAATTAGCAACCATGCACAACAGAGATACTCGAAAAGTTTTCTACCGCCTAACAATCTACGAGATTAATACAAACTAGTAAATAGGTGTTATGCCGAACGAAGACGCAAAAGCAGTTTAGTTGAGCAGGTGGGAACGGAGTGCGCGCGTATTCTCCACCGTTGTAGATGCTGCGCTCAAGCTTTCTGCGGCTAAGAAAGCTGCGTTCGCTTCCTCAAATTTGCGCCTTCATCCAGCAATAGTATTTACTTTGAAGGCAAGCACTTAGACCACAGTTGCGATGCTGAGCTCATAACACCCTTCTACAGCTCAAGGGCCATTGCGTAAACGAAGAGGACTCTGCAACGACGAAATGCTCCTTCAGAACTTCTTCCTGATGTATTCGCAAGCCATTAAAGTTTTCATTTCCACTTGGTCAGATACTCTTTACACTAAAGCTCTTTGCCTTCGTTCTATAGAAATCAAGTTATCTGCAGGTTAACTAGTAAATCTTAATTCAATTCTGCACTTATAAGGAGAGGACTGACTTATATTCCTCTTTTGAGATGCGACCACATAGTTGGAATCAGCTCGGAACGCTCGTTTTAAATGTGCTATTCTCAGCTGCTGAGCATTATCTAAAGCGAGTTATGAGCTTGCTATTGTGAGTAACTGATATGCTTTTGAATGCGTAAGACGGCCCGTAGTTAGTCGCGGCTCGCGATCGACCGCTCCTGTAGCATGTGGCTGGGGACACCGTGATCACGACCGAACCGCCGCGCAATTCAATCGTAAGCCGTTCGCAATGCTTTGCCTCGGCTACCCTGTTCCCTTCCGGACCACTATGAAGGCCGCCCCCAGCCTCGGATGTAAGTAGCGCACGCGCGCGGCATTTGTAGCCTCTTCATTCTAACTTTTACCTACAGGATGTGTCAATGACATGTTCTCTTTTCTGCAGGCGTGGATTTGCAAAGCCGCACCACGATTCCCCTGCGGCACGTTCGCGGGTGCATGGCGTGGCGTTTTGCCAACTTCCGCTTGATGATGCCTTTGAGGCCTAAGTACTGTTTTCCTCCACAAACTTCTTTTTCACTGTTTCTTGCCGCGCCATGCTCGACGTGGATGCACAGGTGCTACGGAAAAGTGAGCTTGTCATTGACACGGCCTTTACTACCTTCGCTCGTATCGCTTGCATAATTGAATGGTTGGGCTCAAGGCCCGACACAGGTGGTCTGGGGTCAAGCTGGACTTCGTTTAAGGTTAGAAGCAACGGGTATATCGTTTTTATAAGGTCTGGGCGGGGGAGCGCCAATAAAGAACGACAAACATATAATATTTGACGAGTTAAATGTGTTCTTTCACAATCGCGCAAATTTCGAAAGCAAGACTGAAACGAACAAATGGCTTGTTTACAACGCGCAAACAATCACATGACACCGAATTTGGGCTGACATACGCATACAATATTACTCCAAACCATATTATGTGAAAAATTTCAAAAACTTATGTGTCATACTACCCGTTCCCGAATTTGTTGGTTTCTAGACCAACACCAAACCAACTGGGTTGATTCGGAGCATAAATCTCGAAGAGTTCACATAAGTTTTGGACCTTTTTAGTTTGGAAAATCAAAACGCTCAAAAAACTATCATATAGCGAAGAGAGCGAATCAAACCATTGTCTTTCTCTTTTTTTAGCTAAAAATAGTGTAAATCTACGCATTGATAGATATTACGCTCCGATCACATGCGGGGTCCTTTGAGCTATGTGGCGAAAAATGCACCGGCAGATAGATGAGGCCACAGCTTTGACTGGCCTAAGAGGTTTTCAAATTTTGAATACTAAAACGTAATCAAACTTAATGGCGGAACCTTTAATCATTTTTTTTGCTTTTTTGTTATATTAGATACTTCAGAACGAGCTTTTTCGCTATATATTGTTATCTGGATTGCGTAAGGGTTTCCCTATTGGTTTTTACGTCAAAAAAGGGACTTCGTAAATTTTCGCGAAATCATGGGGGGCTTCGTTTCCAAAAATGCTCCAAGCCAACGCATGAAGGGCCCTGACTGGGCTTTTATGATATTGGCGCAGCGCCTGCCTCACCGCACCTTGCGCGAGTGTATGATTTGACAGTCGTATGGTTTGATGGACGCGCAAGGATGGAACATCAGGACGTTGAAACTTGAGTAGCGCATGGATGCGCAGGACATATAGTGGAGCTTGGTTTGGAGTTTTTGGGTAATATCTGCGGGGTCACTGTCAGCCGCGCCGTCGCGACTGCTTTGGTGGCAAGCGTGGCCGACCTGTGGGTCAGCTCCCTTGGAAGTTGGGAGAGTGTGAAAGTGTGTCAGGGAGAAAGTGTGAGTGAGCTAGAGTCGCATCGGTAGCCCAGAGATGAACTTAGCTCTCCCCATGGTATGTTTCTATATTTCTACATTTGTGTTTTGTACTGTGTTTTTCTGTTTAGTAAATTTGCATACGTAATTGTTGTTTGTTCTTGTGTAGGCGTAACGCCCCATTGCGGGTTGGCGCGTACCCGCATTGCGAAATTTTGGAGTGGGAACTCCGCCGTAGGACAGACGAGCACCCTCGGAAGAGGCGCAGAGCCCACCAAGCTGCTCCATTGGGATGCTTAGAAAAAGTGCAAGAATGTTTTCCAGCATAGATTATGTCTTTCGATCTCAAAAAGGAGCATTAAGCAATCGCAGAATCACATAGACGTTGCCACCGTAAGTAAATGAGCACTCAAATTTTGACAGAAAAGAGATCATAACTTGCTTCAGAATAACGCTCAGCTAGGAGCGGCATCTACCGAATCAGCGCAAAACGCTGATTCCGAAGATATGTGTTTCGTCTCAAAAGGCAAATCTGAGTTATTATCCTTTTCTTGTAAATCATATGAGCCACTTTCGCATCACATCGAGTTCACTGAGCTGTTTGCATTCCGTAGTGTTTTTTTACGTTTTGTGGTGAGACTGGAAGGTGAGCATGCAGGAGTAAGGGCTATTAGCAGGCTATGTGCATAACTGTGAAAAGTTCATTTATGGCTGAGCTAAACCAGCACAGCAGGATCAAGAACGTTTAGCCGCAAGCAGCAGTTGACATCTGACGCCGTTCCGAGAAGAAAACAAGAGCAGCCAGAACGAGAAGAAGGGAGAAGAGAAAAATTTGACAGCATGTTTGTATGAAAGCCTATGCTTGGATATGAATTGCAGTTCGGTGCCTCACATTGTGTTAATATTGATAGGCGAATGAATGAAAATTATCAGTCAAATATGGCAGCGAAGCATCGCGGGAACGTGGAGAATTCATGGCAGAAATGTACAATCAATAACACACCTAATTGAATAATCATTAAAGATTTTGGCGGGCAATCCTTTCAGAAGATTAACTTTTTTCTAGCATTTTCTTACGTCTCTCCGACACATTCCTACCTTGCTCTTAATGTATACCTTGCTTGCGATTACAACTGAAAAACGCATCGTACAGCTTTGTTTGCGTCTCTGGATAACCAACAAAAGTAAATAGCACTCAGCCTGTTACTAATTGGATAAATTCATGCCAATAAGCCTGTTACTAATCGGATGAATTCATGCCAATAGGTTTGATATGTTCTTCAAAAGGCAAAAAAGGAGGATACCTTGCATATGCTTAGTAGCTTTGCTCCAGTATTTAACGTTTGGCAAGAAGCAGTGATCTCGTCCTTGTTATTAGTTTGTGATTTGAAGCAATACTTCATGCCATCCTCGCATTTATCCACTCGAATGTTCGAGCCAAATTTACCTTTGGAGCCTAAAAAGTCTGTATTTGTTATACATAATCTTCTCAAAATATGATAATTTTCTTTTTTCAAGCTTATATCCAGCATTGTAAGTCATTGAAAAGTCGCGGAATGGCGTTTAAGATCGGTTGATAAGCGGCTCTTGTATAAAACAAGGTACGAGCCCAAACGCGAATTTGCGCAATGTTTTTCAAAAAGGAAAGAAGCACTGTGTAAGGTTTTGCGAGAGCAGCTCCGAGCATTTAGAACGCTTTCGGCTTGTGCTTCATAGTATATGGACCCATTAGTTATTAGAGCAGTTACCCAAGCGTTGTCAACTTGTTATGCATCTAACAATAAAAAAAAATAGCAAGCTGTAAGGAAGCAACGTAAGAAACATGTCTGTTGGTTTACATGTTCGTCACCAAAAAACCTTGCCACGGCTGCTGGCAGTTTTGTATTTGTTCTATTCTTCATCAATAATGCAAGGAGGCAGTCTATAAATAACTTGAAGAGTACTCACCACTGTAACATTTTAGCTCTTCTGAAACAATGATAATCAGTGATAAGAGACAAAGCACTTCTTTGCTATGCATGGAGAGAGAAGCTTATGGTATCCTATCGCCACCAGTGTGACTGTATTTATGACATGCGTCCGACAGCTCGGCTGCGCTTCAATATAAATGTCTCCTCCCATTAATGATGCTTTATGGCAATGCAAATTCGAGGATTAAAATAAGTCAAAGGCTTTCTATAAAGTGATTGTTCTTTGTGGTATCGATATTTGAAATGCGCTGATGGCACATCATAAACCATAAACAGTCTCCAACGTAAACAATGTTTCAGAAAGTGTTTAATGTAATGACTTTGAAAGAGTTTTGTAACCAGATGAACATGACGAAAAAAGCAGTTTGCTTTTGTGATTTTTTAAAGCAATTCAAATACATTCACATAGCCTATAAAACAGCAGCGAAGCAAAGGAATAAGACAAACACAAATGATGTATGGGAATCATTTTGTCATATGTATGAGATGGCGTTGACCAAAACAATAATGTTTTCATACCAAAGGCAGAATGTACCGTTACTTTTAGAGAGTGTTTTCTGCTCGCAAAATAAAGCTACTCCGAAATATTATGCAGTCTTTCTGCTTGCAGCAATTTGCAAAATCATTATGCACTTTGTACATTCAACAGCCATTATCTGCTGAGCAGATATGCGACCATTGATCAGACATAAGAGTGCAGCTAACAAATATTAGGTTGTGTAGTAAGTTCGTTCGCATTTTTTGTTCCAATTTTTTCTCAGTATTTTACAAGACATTTGGCACAGTGTTAGTATGCATTCGGAAGCTCTAATTCTACTCTACCAAGTTACTATCATTATATTTCCAGTTTATAAAAAGTTGAATAAAAAAATCGACTACAAACCGAAAAATCTGAATTGGCGAAAATCCCATTTTCGACAACTATATTATGCCGCACCTTGAATGGGTTTGAGCGCTTAAGAAACAACTCAAAAATTTTGCGACATGTATAAATAGAACTCTATAGCTCCCGCAGATTACCTATAATGCTAAAACCTTTCAAACACAATTCACATTGTAAGCTCAAAAATAGGTTTGTTTTTATGTCTTTTTGATGTCAACGTTAAGCATCTGAAGGCAACTCTGAAGAAAGGTGGTAGCCGAATAATCCAGGAATTGGCAGACGTGTGGTCTATGATCGTTAAATCATCGAATAAATGGCTTATATAGTCAAAAATTCAGAATTCGAGGGACAAATAGCCCGCTGACGCGAGACAACGAACACCGCTGCGGCAAAGCCTTGCTAGGCCGAGTTTTGCAGAAATTGCATAAAACGGTCGGTGAAAGGAAATGGACAATTGTAAATAGTATCAGTAAATGCATAAATTGTTAGTCAGTTGTTTTTCTTCGTTGTCAAGCTTTTTGAATAAATTTCAACAAAGAATAACGGGAATACTAAGGAAGAAAAAAGATGTCGAAAATAGGATTTTTGCCACTTCAGATTTTTCGGTTTTTAGTGGAATTTTTTTAATCAAATTTTCAAAATCTGAGAAGATAATGACAGTATTTTGGTAGAGCAAACTTAGAGCTTCCGATCGCATACTAACACTATGCCAAATGCTTTGCAAAATATTGAGAAAAAATCAAAACAAAAAATGCGAACGAACTTATTACACAACCTAATATCAGGACCGTTTTATGGACAACATGCCAGCTTCGACTCCACACTCAAACACCTTTTTGAAACACATCAAATTTTACCTCCGCTCAATTCGTGTTACATGTGCTGGTCTAGAATCCTCCAACATATCACTAAAAGTACCCTAATTTCACGCGTATAAGGCGCGGGGGATTTTTTTCCAAAATCGACCAGCCCAGGCAAGCCAAAAGACTTTACAACCAAGGACCCTATAACATGCTGTATATTGCTTGAGAGAGTCGTGCGATGTAAGGATTTCTTTCCGGAATACAGTGAAGCGGCTGAGCGGCTCGCTTGAAAATTCGAAAAAGTGCGCCCTATGCGCGTGAAATTAGGGTACTTGACCTTGACCAACTTTGTATAAAAACTAATCCATTCTTCCATTATTAATTACCAGTACATTGGATGAAGATCGTTCCAAAAGACCAATCAAGAACTAAAGAGCAAATACTTTTCCGTTAACCGGCCCATTTTCAAAGAAGATAATTGCTTTTTTCCTCGTACCATATTTGGTCCCAGCCGTAAAGGAGTGCCAGTCTTTCTGCCACGTGTCAAAAAATTTAACATGTCACTTACATGTTTAACAGGCTTCACAAAAAGTCTGAGATGCCCTACCTAGCGACGTGAGTTTAGTCTGTTTTTAAGCCAGTAGTGGACCCACTTCTACTAAACAGTATCAAGATGAACATTATTATTATAATAACGTTATTCTTTTGTTAATGAACAGATTAGACTTGCACAAAATAGAGAAGCGGACTAGGGTTCCACCAATCAAGTGACAAAACAAGCAGCAGCGAAAAACTTGAAGCCATCATTTATAGTCTTGTCTGAATTCGCATGGTGAATAGGGTTTGAAGAAAAGGACAATGCTGAATCGTTGCTGAAAACGATGATGTTCTAATATAGGCTCTAGATTGTTTTGCTCTTGTAAAGGACAATTAAACAGCTTTTAGTTAATCACAAATGCCCTTTTACCTCGCCGGAAATGATTTCGAAATAACATGTCAAAATGAACAAACATGTCAAAATTTTCTTGACACGTGGCAGTGAGGCAGTCATTGTGGAATCTATAAAAAATTGTTCTTGGAGTAAAAAACGTATTTTATGAGAGTCTTCTGAAAAAATGGGTCCGGATAACGGAAAAATACCAAAAAATTCACACTGAGTTGTTGCACACTGCAACCAATGTGATATTCCATATAGGAACGGAATTCGCACCACATTCAGACGTACAGCATTGAACCGCCTCCTCCAACAATGTTTTCTTGCCATTTTATTGCATCTTCTTTTCCCTTTTCAGTAAATCAGCTACGCGATTCTAGTTTGCTTACACCATTAGATATTCGCAAAAATGGGTCTATCAAGAGTAGGAAGCCTTTGTGCAACTCCTTAAAATCACAAAATTGAATTAGGTTTTGAAAGAAGATACTGTTTATTGATTAGCGATATATGCGAGTATAGAACTGATTTTCGAAATAGAGGGCATATTCCAGCTTTTAGTCATGTAACCTATTGTATTAGTTGAAGAATAACTTCTCTTACGAAAAACACCGCAGCTTTCTGGAAACTTTAGAAGAATTAATTAGGGTGATGCAACTAATGCGTGTGCCTTATGCTGAATTGGCAAATGGCAATTTTGAATAGAGAATTCAAAGAGAATATCATTTAACCAATGCGTCGCCTCGCAACGGTTCGCACTGGTTGTACTATTAAAGGTCCCCACAGGAGTTTTGCAATTAGACTGGGAAATTTTTCCGATTTGCCATACTCAGACGTTTTGCGGACGTTCATAACTCACTAGCTAATCTATATTATATCGAAAAGTGAGCACATCACATTCAAGAAAAAAAAACAGTTATGATATTTGCAAAACTTCGGGGCCGGTAGTAATCTACCTTACCTGGTGGCATCAAGGATGCCGGCAAGTTGGCACACATCGCGGAAAGATGCCAACTCCGCCGGCAGTTCGCGGAGTGATTGTAGGTTTTAATAATCTTATGTAACCTTAGCACGCAATCATTTCACACATTAAATTTTGATGACACAGACGGCCGCAAAATTGCTACCTCGTGCGCGGTCGAAACTATGTGCGTTAACTTGAGCGTGCCACCACGTTAACCATTCGACCATTCGGTCACCCATTGCGGTTTGCACCAGCAGTAGGAGGAACGCGGTAAATGGCTGCCTGTAAGAGGGATCGATACATTGCGTGAGAAACTTTGACCTGAAAGAACAGCTGATTGATATGAGCGAGAGAGGGGCGAAATCAGTGCAAACGAGATTTATAAGGGATTGCCTAAAAAGATGATGTTCTTTATGATTCTAAGGCAATACTGGATTTCTTCTCTGTAAGAAAATCGTCGTTTTAAAAAAAAACTCGTATAATGAGAAAAATGATAGTTTTTTGATGAAAAGTAGAATTTTTGATTTTTTCACCTGACGTAAATTGTGTGATATCGCAATTCGCAAACTCGCAGACGCCGTCGGCAAAGGTGCCACCACCTCGACGTGGTAGGGGCACGTCGAGATGCCGGCAGCTCCCTCTCTCAAAAGAGCACGCTATTTCCCGTGCTCTCTGACCTGCCGGCAGCTGCCATCTCGCGGATTTCAATGAGCTGCCGGCAGGTTGCCGGCAACTTACATCGCGAAGTTGCCGGCAGCTCCTTCTGCGCTTCCAGATATTTTCCCACAGGAGGATTTCTAGAACCGCAGATTTCTGTGGAGTTTTCTACAGAGTCTAGGCGGCATCTTTATCGAGAAAATTTTTTGGAAATAGGCCTGGGACCGCCTAAATTTGGGGTTTCACTTTCTGGCCACCTCACGGAAAAGGTGCCATCAACTTGCCGACGAGACCTGCCGCCAGGTCGGGGGGATTACTACCGGCCCGGAATTATTGAACTGAACTTACTGGGTCTAATATTTTACTGAAAGGCGCTAAGAACAATCGGTTGCGTAAACGTTCAACTTTGTAAAGTAAAGTAACTCACGGTGAATATTGCCTTTTTTGCGAACACTAAGCCATAAAAAATTCGAAAACCTGTTCACATTTGAATTCGGTCTTCAAGATGTTCTTTCACAAGAGATTGCCGATTTCGCAAAATGATTTCGGGAGTAGTTCTTGATTACTGATTTGAAGCAAGCAAGTAAAAAGCGTTCATTATTTTTTGACAACCTGGTGGTCGAGAACTATCATGTCTAACTTGTTTTTGATCTTTTGCTCTTGAAGAGTCCTAAAAGATCAAATCCGGTTCTGCATCTGAAAGCTTGTATTAGGTGGGTCCGAAAGTTCGTGCCATTTATTAAGACCTGTCCCAAAGCATTCAGAAGATAGACAAGCACTTTAAGAAGGGTTCTATAATTTTTTCCTCCTCTCAGCGTCAATGTTTCTGTTCGGATTCCCTCGGTGTTCGCTCAAAAAATCTTCAGAATCTTCAACCCATGGCTTTAACCTACTTTGACTTCTA